TCTATCCAGAAAAACTTTCATTTAGAATGGAAGGACAGATAAGGTGCTTCTCAGATAAGATCAAATTCAAGGAGTTCATCATCACCAAGCCCTTATTATATGAAATGTTAAAGGGACTTATCTAAGAAAAAGAAGTTAAAAAAAACATGAACAGTGAAAGGACAACAAACTCACAGTTATTAACAACCACACCTAAAACAAAAGCAAACTAAAAGGACAGCTCTATCAGGAATGGAAACATAGAAATGAAGATCATGTGGAGGGTTAGCAACAGGGGAGTGGGAGGAGGAGAAGGGGGGAGAAGGTACAGAAAATAAGTAGCATAGACAGTAGATAGAAAATAGATGGGGGGCAAGAATAGCATGGGAAATATAGAATCTAAAGAACTTGAGACACAGGGTGATAAACTAAAGGGGGGGTAATGGTGGGGATGGGGGGTAGGGTGGAGGGGAATGAAGGAGGGGAATAGAACAACTGTAACAGCATAATCAATAAAAAATTTTTTTTAAAAAGTTTGGCTCATATAGGACATATCTGACTTTGGGCAAATGACCCCCTTCAATATGAGTGCTGCAATGGAAATGACATTGCAAATCTCTACATGGAGAAGCAAAGGTCTAGCAAAGAAATTCTGAACTGTATATATTTTGGGTTTTCCTGCTCCGCCTCCATTTCTTCTGCTAAAGCCCCTCTCCCAATCCTTCATTTGGTTGGACAGAGACTCAGGCTTGCTCAGTCAGAGCAGTCCATGGCAGATCACAGCGGCAAGCCTTCCCAGCTCCTCCCTCGTGACCTGGCAGGAGCTGTTTTCCCTGCTTGGAACATGCCCTGCCACTCTCCACCTCCGCCGCGTCTTTACCTGGCTCGTTTCCACTCATCCCCTAAGTCTCAGCTGATATCACCTCCTCTTCCAAACACCCTTCTGAGTGGTCCATTGGATTTCTATGACTTTTACAAGCCCAACAAACTTTCCCATTTGACTTTGCTGGAGAGTTTTGGGATCAACCAAATGAAATTGCCAATAATTTGCCATTTCTGACATACACAACTGGCAATTTCAGATAGTTCACCAATTTTTATTTTAGCCACCCTCCTTCCCCAGACCCCCAACCCAGACACCTGAATACTGAGGGCTCAACCAACCCCTACCTGGCCAATCAAAGGATTCCCTTTTCTTGGATGCTGCAACCAGTGCAAGGGTGGCTGGCCTGTGACACTGATTGGGCCAATCCAAGCCCTTCCCTGGGATTTTTTTTTTTTTTTAGACAGGAGATTTTGCCACTTTCTTACTGAGCTATGGTGCTGGAAGGATTGGGTCTGTGCCTGCAAATAAATGTCCATTTTCCCAGCACATGCAGTTGGACAGATAACAGGCGCCGAGATGGTGAAATGAGTAGGAGAGTGCCTTGGTGGGGTTGAGTCTGAGGTCCAGTCTCTAAGGCCAAGTGCCTTGGAGTTTTACCCTAAATCGTCACCTTTCTACCTACATGAGCCAACAAACGCCTGCTTTTTATGCCTCTTCTGTTAAGCTATGTTCTGTCACTTGCTACAAAAAAGACTCTGACTAACACATGTCCCTGAACCTGCAGGTGGGGTCGGGCAGTTCCTCTGGGCTCCCACAGTCTCCTTTTCTTCCCCCATCACGGCTGTTTTGTCATCTATCTGTCCGGGAGGGCTGGGACTGGGTCCCCAAAGGGCTAAACCGGGGACCGCGTGGGCCCCAAATATGTCCATGGATGGGAGTCATGTTCTGAGATGACAGTTCCTGACTTTGTTGTGAAGGCAGGCGCACCCCACACCCCACCAAATCAGACCATATGTGCTCACAGCTGACAACCCTTCATTGTCTTCCCATAACTCTCAGAAAAGAATCTTCACTCTTCTTTTCTTTCTCTTTCTCCCTGCGGTGTCCACTTCTCCCTAAAATCTCGACTCTTCATCACAGTCCACGAGCTTCTGCACAATCTGCTGCCCCCTCGCCTCTCCCACCCGCTCTCCCCCCACCGTCCCCCACTCCAGTCCAGACTCACCGCCTCCGACACACCAAGCACAGTCCCGTCTCACAGCCTTCGCACATGCTATTTCCATCGCCAGGGATGCCGCTCCCTGGTTCTCCCCACAGTGGAATTCTTCGGCTCCAACATCACCTGTTTTCACCCACCCCCACTAATCTACAGCAGGCCTCTCAGTCGTTCTGTCCCATCAACCTGATTTCACTCCTCCATTCATTTCATGGCGCTGATTTACCACCAGACACTCACGACATACTTACTGCTTGTTTCCTGTCTTCCCTCAAGAGGCAGGGGTTGCCTGTTCTGTCTATTTTGTCCAGTGCTGTATCCCCTGTGCAGGACTAGGTACACAGTACGTGCTCAATAAAGCTTTATCAGGTGACTCAGAGACAACCTAGTCAGACGATTAGGTGTGCAGAATTTGGAGGCAGTAAACTTTCTGGTCACGGCTCTGCCCTCCACTGGCTGTATGATCGTGGGCACGTTCCCTAACCTCTGGACTGTTTCCTCACCTGGAGAAGGTGGGTGCACACACTACGTCTCAGCTGCAGAGTACAAAGGCGATTGTGCTCACTATCTGAGTGGCTTTATTTCATGAGCGTTATGTGCCCAGTGCTGGGTGGCACACTCTCTTTCCACCCATCAGGGAGGGTCTGTGAGCTCAGCGCCTGGCGTGTGGGAAGCCCTCAGGGCCCAGGAGTCCTGATGACTGAGGTAGATAAGTGTGGCTGGGTCACTGGGTGAGGGAGCCTCCTGGCCTGTGATTCTCTGGCGCCTCTGTCCTTGCTGCCTCCCACCCCGTTTGCCCAGATCATTCCCCTCCCTCCTGCTCTGTTTCTATTTCTGTCTTTCTCTCCTCCTCCCCAGGCCACAGGGGGCCTCAGACTGGCATGAAGCCTCTTCCTTCTACTCCAGGATCAGGAAGTTTTTACTGCAGGGCCCCCCAACCAGAGTTCAGGAGCCCCTCAATCAATTTTCCTTCTCCAGCCACTACCTTACCTGAAACTCCCCTCCCCACACCATCCTCTGTGCCTCCAGCAAATCCCTCCCCCACGTATGATCCCTCCTATTCCAGACAGAACAACCGATGAGCTCTGCCCCTCATCCCCTCCCTCCCCAGGCTGGCTCTGGACACTTGAGCTCAGCCTGAGGTCTTCCTCGGGGGCCCTTCCCCAGCCCCACAAGCAACATAGTGTGGTGGTAAGGAACAGGCAGACACTGAGACCAAACTGCCAGCTCCACACTTTCTTGGGGATCTTTGGGCAAGTGACTTCAGTCACTTCTCCCTGGTTCAGATTTCTGCCTGTAAAATGGAACCAGAGATATCCACCTTGGACAGTTGCCCAACCCCAGAGAGATGAGCTGGGCTTAGCACAGAGCCGGAGTGCGGAATGAGCATTCACTAACTGCTCAGCAGTGGCATTCTGTGGTTAAGAGGACAGACTCAGAAGTCAGGCTGCCTGCCTTTTCAAACCCAGTTTTGCCACCTTTGGGTTCTGTGACCTTGGGCATGCTACTTAACGCTTCTGGGTGTCATTTCCTCATCTGTGAAGTGGGATGACTGTAAATGTTCTACGGTGGTTGTGAGGAGTAAATGACTTAAGTGCTTGGCACATGGTGAGCACTCACTAAATGTTAACTATTATCATTGTATTATTAATAGTAGTATTTCCCAGGAAATTGTCTCCAAGTCTCCCTGGTCTCAGTTAGCCATCCTTCCTTCAGTCTCAGTCATTATGCTGCAATGAGGAGTCCCCACTCCCAAGAAACAAGGACACACACAGAGGTCAGCAGAGAGGCTTTTGAAAAGGTTTGTTTATTGATCCATGCTCCCACTCCATCATTCATCCACTTTCCATGGATGGTGTTGGCTGTTGCCTGTTGCTGGCCAGGTATTGGGGATACTGACCCACAGCCCCATCATCAGGGGGCTTCAGAATAGAGAGGGAACCAGACATCAAGGTCCAAAGCACAGACAGGAGGCCCTGTGCTGGGTCCGGAGCTCACGGAGGGGTGCCTGGGAGTGAGGTCACACGGGCAGGCAGACAGCTGCCAGATGCACTGGTATCTGTCAGATCTTTTAATGTTGTTCAGTTTTCCTAGAAGGAGACACAAGGAGTCCTTGCAGGGTTTGAAGCCAGGAAGCAACCTCTCCAATGGGTGAGTCTGAAAGTGCAGGCCTCACTAGAGGAGAGTGGACTGGATGAGGGAGCCTGGGTGTGAGAGGACAGTGAGTTCGGCCTCAGGGAGGCAGAGGTGACAGTGAAGTGTATTTGTGCCTTTAGTGGAATAGTCACAATACATGCAAAACACTTACCATCTCAGCTGACATGTGGAAGTATCCCAGGAACTGTAAGTACACACTGTGGTAGTGGTGGTTAGAAATATAAGTTCTGACGTCAGAGAGACCTTAGAATTTCGATTTCTGCCCAGTCCCCTATAGTTCCCAGTGTCACCTAGTCCCTGAAACTACTGGTGGGCTCGCTGTGGGTGTGGTGACCTGTGTGAGTGCCCTTGTCCGCACTGCCCCCACCTGGGGTGCTCCCCGCCTTCCCCCCACCCCAGGCTTGCTCTGTGCTCTCCAGCCCTACAGTCTGGCCGCCCCTTTCCCTTCAGCAATGGGTGCAGCTCAGTCCCAAACTGGTCCACACAACATTTGGCTTCCTCTCCTTGTTGCCAGACCTGCACTTTGGACTGGGGCCCAGAGGGTCCCTGGCGGAGTTGTTGGGAGGCTCGGTCCATTGTCCCTTGGTTTACCTCCTGCCCCCTTCCACCTCCAGCTGGCCAGGTGGAAAGCCCCTCTGGGTCTGCTCCAAAACAGAGCCGTTAGTGGAGCCGGGGGAAGCCGGTGGACCTCCAGGGGACACCAGAGAGTGGAGATCAGCAGGAGCACAGGGTCCATTGCTGACCAACAAAGGGGAGCTTTACAGGAGGAAGTTGCTGCCAGGCCTCGCTCCGCCTCCGTCTCGGGTTCCAGGACTCGCCTCGATGCCTGGAAACCAGCCTCCTCTCCAGCCTCCTGCACCTGTTCACCTGGGGCCTCGTCTCGGCCCCGCGGAGTCCCCCAGAACCCGCGGGTCTGCAGGGGGCGGCTGCGAGCTCCGCTGTGACCCCTTTTCTGCGTCCGGGTCTCCAGCCGCGGACTCCGAATCTCGGGGGACTCTGCCGCTGCTGGACGGACCTGGACAGTCTGCGACCTGTGCTCCAGCAGCCGCGGGTACTTTTCCAAGGATCAGAACGCGTCTCTCTAGGAAGCGAGGACATTTTGATGGGATGCGTCCCCCTAAGATCTTCAGGGGCCTCCTCTGGCACCAAGAGACTTGCGTCCTGGGTCTACACGGTACACTGACTGCAGGCACCACGGACTGGTCTCTTCTTCTCTGGTCACAGAAGCCCAGAACTCCTTCTCCCATGGAAGGTCCCGCATCCTCATCTCAGCCCTCAGTGTCCACTCTGAGATTCTGTGAATCTGCAACTCTGATCTCCCCACGGGGGAGGCCTCATCCCTAAGGGATCTGGCAGTGGAAGGGCCCACAGTCCTCAGCTGACTGGAGTATTTTGGATTCTGTTACCCAAGTGACATTTGTGTTTGTGAAATCCCTATGTAATTCTCTATTCTGGCTTCTGGTGGTGGCTTATTGCCATTATTAAATATACTTGCATTTACAACGGACGATCCCCTGTGATCATTTGGGGAGCACCTTTCAGTTCAAAATGCTGAACCAGGGAAAGCAGGTGACATCAGTTTCAATTCTGAGTCACCCTCTCAGTCATGGTGTTACCGGGTAATTACTTCTCTCTGAGCCTCAGTTTCCTCATCCACACGATGTCATTCTTGTCCTTTTCTTGCAGATGAGTAATGCACATTGGAGTAGTGTTTCTAAAGCTTCCAGCTGAGACCACAGGATGGTCTTCACTAATGGTCTCTATTAGGTGACCACACACGTTCATACACAGGCAATTGCACTTTTCACGAGTCCAAGGCAGTGGGCTAGCGATCATGGTTGCTAACTGCAGGCCTCTTTGCCAAGGTCACCCAGCTGGGAGGGTCAGAACCAGGTTTCAATCTCAACCACCTCACAGAACTTCCTTCCAAGAAAAACAAGTATGAATTCAGAAATGTTGAGACCTTCTGTGCATTTTTAGAATTCACCTTTGATGCAATGTCTCCTGCCCAGGGTTAAGGTTGATGTCATTGACAGAAACCGACCACAGCCCTGGAAGGTGAAGGGGGCACATTTCCCTTCTTGCCTGTGCAACATTTTTAGGTCTCAGAGCTCAGTATTTCCTAATGAGGATTCCATCCACTCTCTCTGGAATTATGAATCATAGACAAAGGGTTTTCAGCAGTAGTCAAAGCCAAAAAGCAGTGGGCACCTCCCATCCTAAATTTCGTTGTCTCCACGACCAGGGAGGGGATCCAGCTGCACAGAAGCTGGACAGTGTCGTCTTTACTGTCTGGGGTGTCAGGAAAAACTTGTTTAAAATTCTGCCCTCACCACATAATTTTTTTGTGACTTTGGGTTGGTCTCTTAGCATCTGAGTCCCCGTATTTTATTATTTTTATTTATTTAGTTAGTTTTATGATTTGATTATTTCTAAATGCTTTATATTTAGAACAGGTGGCAGCATCCAGCTTCTCCCCCTTCTGCTGGCGTGGCTCCGTATTTACACTGCAGGGCAAGTCCAGGAGGCCCTCGGTGCCCCTGTGGGCTCAGCACTGCAAGTGGCAAAGGCTTTGTGTTGGGGTGAGACACAAAGTGCTGAACAAAGTGGGGGCGTCTGGGTTTTCCTTTTGCACTGACTGCTCCCCGCCCAAGTCTTCACATACCTGCCACCCTCACTTTTAAGTCTTCATTCACATGTGCTTTCTCAGGCCGCCTCATTCACTGCAACCACTGCTTACACCCTGCTGTCTCCCTGCTTTAGTTCTTCCACTTTCTGTTCCTTGAAGTAACGTCCACCTGTGCTTAAGCCCCTCTCCCCTAATCCCTGTCATCCTCCCTAGCAAAAGTTCCTCAAAGGGTGGTTTTATGGGTTTTTTTTTAATACATTATGTCAGGCACCTAGAGATGTGCCTGACAGAAAGTGGGGGCTGCATCATACTGGGTGAATGAATGAAGGCGTTTGTCATGAACTGAGCTGGTTCCCTGAAGTCCTTGGCAACACCAAGATTGCCTAGTAGATTGTCCCATTCCTGTGTCCCTCAGTGTCTGGACAATTAACATGTTAGTGAGGCTCCCCCCTTCTCCCTGTTCTTTCTCTCAGTCCCAGCTGTGGAAGGGGGGAAGAGCTGGTCTCCTTGCTCTATTTTAGGCTGCTTTCCCTTTCTCACACTTCTCCCACCACCCACCCTGCCCTCACCCCCCTGCTGCCTCTCCCTTCCTCTTCTCCCCTCCCCATAATCACTTCTCTTGAACGTTCCCAGTTCTCTCTGGCACTACCCTAGCACTGCTTTCCTCCTCCTCTCCCTGCACAGCAGTGTCCTGACAAAGACAAGTTCCTCTGTCCCCTCCCCATCAGGGCACGGTGACTGCACCTTTGTGGGCTGAGGCCGTGGCCCTACGCCGAGACCCATCTTAGGATCTCACCTCCTGTAGGTGAACCTCAATCTGGGTCAGTTTCTCTTTCCCTCCACCTGCTCACCTGGCTCAAGGCCCCGCCCTGCATGGGCTTCCCCAGCCTGGGGCCTCCCCTAGTGGCCAGTGTGTTTTCACTTTTCCTACATCAGCTGGGATTGCCCATCTCTCCAGGCTAAAAGCTGTACCATGGAGATCAGGCAGCTATTCCATCAGAGCAGAGCTGGAGGTGCAGAGACGCAGACAGAGCAGCAGACTCAGACCCAGCAGAGGAGACTTAGGTCACAGACACCAAACAAGGCTGAGTGAGAGACCCTGGTGACAGCCTCTCAGTGGACACTTAGGTCCCCCTCTGCTGACAGACACCAGAGACAGAGATGAGGATGCAACTGGGTGAGCCCCCACATCATTGCCCATGACCCCCACCTCTCCACAGCCCCTAACCTCAGCCCCTGACACTGTTCGTGCCCTCATCTGTCTGTCCTTCTGTAACACAGACTTGCCTGTGGGTTGCATGCTGGTGCTGATGCTGATGACCATGGTGCTGACCAGGACAAGAGCAGTTCCTGTCCCCACGCCCCTCAGTGCCCTCCCGGGTGCAAGGGGCTGCCCCTTGGCCCAGTTCAAGTCTCTGCCCCCAGAAGACATGAAGGCCTTCAGGAGGGCCAAGGACGCCTTGGTGAGTCTCCGCACTGCCCCACCTACTGTGGATGAACCCCCACCCTCCCTCTGGGGGTTCCCATGCTCCCTGTGGCTCAGGGTGGACCTGTCCCCTCCCCTCCCTGGGCTGCCCTGCACTTTGGCACAGTGGGCTGACTCCTGCTGTTGCTGCATTGGGCTGACTCCTGTTCTGCAGTGGAGACGCCTCCACCCTGCTTTTGGAAGTTAGCCCCCCTCCTCATGTCGTAGTCTCCCTCCAATCCCACTGCAGGGGTCTAACCTCAGTCCTCCAGCTGTGCGCTGACCCTCCCCTTCCTCTCCAGGAGGAGTCACTCCTGCTGAAGAACTGGAGCTGCAGCTCCCACCCACTGCCCAGGACCCGGGACCTGAGGCAGCTGCAGGTGAGTTGGCAGAGGGAGGTCCAGCCCTGCCCTCACCTGGCCCCAGCTCCTGTAGCTGCGTAAATGGGCCCTTCACCTTCTCCTCCTCACTCTTCTTGACTTTTCCTCACCTGCCACATTTGCTGTCCTCTTACATTTCCTGACCTTACCTTTACTGCCCCTTCCTCAGTCCTCCTCACCTGTCTCTGCCCTCCTCAGGTGTGGGAGCGCCCAGTGGCCTTGGAGGCTGAGCTGGCCCTGACACTGAAGGTCCTGGGGACCATGGCTAACTCCACCCTGGGGGACATCCTGGAGCAGCCCCTTCACATGCTGCGCTACATCCACACCAAGCTTCAGGCCTGTGTGAGTGCTCTGGGCCCTTGGGCCACATCTGTGAGCTCTGACTCTCCCCCACCCTCATAGGTCTCCCTCTGTCCAGGCCCTGCCTCACACACCACCCTCCTCTCCTCACAGGTCCCAGCTCAGGCCACAGCAGGCCCCAGACCCCGGGGCTACCTCCACCGCTGGCTGCGCCGCCTCCAGGTGGCTTCAAAGGTGAGTGACCAGGGAGTGACCAGTGTCTGGGGACAAACAACTGGGACCCAGATCAGGGGTAGTCACTGGCCCATCCCGTCTTCCCCACAGGAGTCCCCTGCCTGCCTTGAAGCCTCTGTGACATTCAACCTGTTCCGCCTCCTCACCCATGACCTGAACTGTGTCGCCAGTGGAGACCTGTGTGTCTGACCCTGAGGCCCACCCGCCACCTGCCCCAGCATCTTAGATGTTATTTATGCCTCACTCATTTTTCTTAAGTTATTGTCAGTTATTTATATATTTGTATGTGGGCATTTTCAAACTCACACCCAATCAGGAGATTTTATTTATGCCTCATTCACTTTTTAAGTTATTGTCAGTTATTTATGTATTTATCCATGTGAATTTTCAAACTCACAACCAATTAAGTGTTTATTTTTTTACTTTTTGTCAAATTGTGCAAATAAACAACGAGGAAAAGTTGCTGTTTGTGCTGTGGGGTGTGTGGAGGGATTCAGTGTCCAGGGCTGGTTTGGGAGAGGCCTGAATTCTGGAACCACTTTGGTGCTGACCCCATGGACCATGGACCAGTCTTGTTTCCCCTGAACGCCTCCCTGGATGTTCTGTGAGTCTCTGACTGTTGGCTCTCCCCACTGAGCGGGTCCCATTTCTGAGGGATTTGGAGAGCACCGAGGTCAGCAGGCTCAGTTACAGTCCCCAGCCATGTAACCACCAGGAGTCCTTCTGAGGAATGCGTCCTTAGGGGAACCTGTATTGTGCAGATGTCACAGAGCACTCACACTGACCGCGATGGGGCCGTCACCACACACCTAGGCTGTGTGGTACAGCCTGTGGCTCCTGGACCACAAACCTGTGCAGCAGGTTGAAGTGTATTAGATACTGTCGGCAGGTAGAACACAATAAGTATTTGTGTATCTGGACACATCTAAACACACTACAGGCACAGCGAGGATGTGCTGGAGGAGATACAAATGTCACACCTGCATAGGGCACTCACATGGGTGGAACCAGGGAACTGTAGTCACTCTGGGTGAGGCAGTGAGTGAGTGGCGAGTGAATGTGAAGGCCTACCACATTCTTCCCACTACTATGGACCTTACAAACTCTACATTTGTGCCACCTAAATGTATAAAACAACACAATATTGCACCAAGCACAAGAGAAAATAGTGCAAAGATGCAGTAAACACAAGGTTTATGAGGCTGCTGCCAGCCTAACATACATACTGTCTTACAGTAAACTTTTTATAGAAATAGACAGAGCGCACTCTAAAATAATGATGAGATGCATAGTAAATATATAAAACACTAAGGGAGCCCTTTATGATGAAGTGTTATGTACTGTACACTGCCGTATGTGCTGTACTTGCACGTGACTGGCTGCACTTCAGGGTGTATATCAGGGTCGTGTATGTGGCCCACCATTGACCAAAAGATTATCATGCCACTCATGACTGAGTTGTAATTATTTGGTATCCTGTTACTAATGTGTCCTTACAGTTGTAAGACCCATGTGCTTGTGCTGGTCCTCTTTTCTCCTGGTGTTCATTCATTTTCATGTGTGTGATGGTGTGACCACTGGCTGTGCAATCAATCATTCTGAGGTAGTGTGAATGGTAGAGGTACAACTTTGAAGTCAGAGCTAAATCTGAGGGGACATTTTCCTTCCCATTTACCTTTTGTGGTATACTTGCCTTTTTCTGTTCTTTCTAAAGTATATTTTACTGATTATGGTACTACAGTTGTCCCATATCCCCCCTTTATTCCCCTCGACCACGCACACCCCCCTCCCGCTCGCATTCCCCCCCATTTACTTCATGTTCATGGGTCATACACATAAGATCTTTGGCTTCTACATTTCCTATACTGCTCTTACCCTCCCCCTGTCTATTTTCTACCTACCATTTATGCTACTTATTCTCTGTACCTTTTCCCCCTCTCTCTCCTCCCACTCCCCCTCTGATAACCCTCCATGTAATCTCCATTTCTGTGATTCTCTTCCTCATCTAGTTGTTTGCTTAGTTTGTTTATGTTTTCTTTTGTTTTTTCATTTAGTTTTGTTTTAAGGTTTGGTTGTTAATAGCTGTGAGTTTGTTGTCGTTTTACTATTAATATTTTTTATCTGACTTCACCAAGATGGAGGCATAGGTGGAGTCGTCATGCTTTCTCACACAACCAAGTTGAGAGACGACAAAATATTAGCAACAGAAAACATAGCCAGAACACAGAAAATTGAACTTTTGGAAAGTCTGATAACAACTAATTCTTCAGCCTGACCAGTAAGAGTGGAGAAGCCAGCAGCTGGCAGAGCGGGGTTGCACAGGAAAACTCGGTCAGATGGACCCGGACACACAGATCCCAGGCATGGCGTTGCAACGGGTGGACCCAGTGAGAGACCCAGTTAGCGACCCAACGAGGGCACAGGGCGGCGGGTTGACTGTGCTGGCACATTCCTGTGCAGATAGACCCGTGAGGGAGTGGGCAGTGAGATGTGACTGAGCAGGCCCCAGTGGCGGGAACCAGCAGAAGAGGCCGCCATTTCCCCACTCCCACCCCGCTCCCACTATACAGCGTCACAACCTAGTGACCTGGGCGGCCCCGCCCTAATGAGTACCAAAGCCTCCGCTCCTCATACTGAATGGGCCCCAACAGACCAAAAATGGCTCAAGAAGATCTCAAAGCCCCAGAGCCCATAACTCTAAGCGATGAAGAAATAGCAAAACTTTCAGATGCACAGTTAGTTCAAAACACTGGTGATCAGCATGCTCACAGAACTGGTTGATTTTAGTCACAAATTAGAGGAAAATATGAAGGCTAAACTAATTGAAATGAAGGGAATTACACAGGAAACCAATAGTGATGAAAAGGAAACTGGGACTCAAATCAAGGGACTGAACCATAAGGAAGGAAAAAATGACCAAACAGGAAAATATGAAGAAACAAAAATTCAAAAATTGAGGAGAGACTGAGGAACCTCCAGGACATCTTTAAATGCTCCAACATCCGAATAATAGGGGTACCAGAAGGAGGAAAGGAACAGCCACCAGTGGAAAACTTATTTGAATAAATAGTAAAAGAGAATTTCCCCAATCTGGCAAAGGCAATAGACTTCCAGGAAATCCAGGAAGCTCAGAGAGTCCCAAAGAACTTGGACCCAAGAAGAAACACACCAAGGCACATCATCATTACATTAGCCAAGATTAAAATGAAGGGAAGAATCCTAGAACCAGCAAGAGGTAAAGGGACAGTCACCTGCAAAGGAGTTCCCATCAGACTGTCAGCTGATTTCTCAAAAGACACCCTACAGGCAAGAAGAGGCTGGAAAAAGGTATTCCAAGTCATGAAATCCAAAGACCTACAACCAAGATTACTCTATCCAGCAAAGCTTTCATTTAGAATGGAAGGACAGATAAGGTGCTTCTCAGATAAGATCAAATTCAAGGAGTTCATCATCACCAAACCCTTATTATATGAAATGTTAAAGGGACTTATCTAAGAAAGAGCACATAAAAAAGATGAACAGTGAAAAAACAGCAAACTCACAGATATTAACAACCACACCTAAAACAAAAGCAAACTAAAAGGACAGCTAGATCATGAGCAGAAACATAGAAATGAAGATCTCATGGAGGGTTAGCAACAGGGGAGTGGGAGGAGGAGAAAGTGGTAGAAGGTACAGAAAATAAGTAGCAGAGAGGGTAGGTAGAAAATAGATAGGGGAGGGCAAGAATAGTATGGGAAATATAGAATCTAAAGAACTTGAGACACATGTCATAAACTAAAGGGGGGGAAAGGTTGGGTGGAGGGTGCAGGGTCGAGGGGAATGAAGGGGGGAATAGAAAAACTGTAATGGCATAATCAATCAAATAAAAATTTTAAAATATTTTTTACCTTCTTGTTCTTAGATAAGTCTCTTTAACATTTCATATAATAAGGGCTGGGTGATGATGAACTTTATCTGCCCTTCATTCTAAATGAAAGCTTTGTTGGATAGAGCAATCTTGGATGTAGGTCCTTGCCTTTCATGACTTCAAATACTTCTTTCCAGTCCTTTCTTGCCTGTAAGGATTCTTTTGAGACATCAGCTGAAAATCTAATGGGAACTCCTTTTTAGGTAACTATCTCCTTTGCTCTTGCTGCTTTTAAGATTCTCTCTTTATCTTTAATCTTGGCTAATATGATTATGATGTGCCTTATTGTGTTCCTCCTTCGGTCCACTTTCTTTGGGACTCTGAGCTTCCTGGACTTCCTGGTAGTCTATTTCCTTTGCCAGATTGGGGAAGTTCTTCATTATTTGTTCAAATAAGTTTTCAATCTCTTGCTGTTGTTCTTTTCCTTCTGGCACCCCTATGATTCAGATGTTGAAACATTTAAAGATGTCCTGGAGCTTCCTAAACCTCTCTTTTTTTTTTTTGAATTCTCTTTTCTTTATTCTGTTCTGGTTCAATGTTTCTTTCTTTCTGCTGCTCCAATCCATTGATTTGAGTCCTGGTTTTCTTCCCGCCATTGTTGTCTACCTGTAGATTTTTCTTTATTTCACATAGTGCAACCTTCATTGCTGCCTGGGTCTTTTTATGTTGGTGAAGTGCCCAGTGAGTTCCTGGAGCATCCTGATAACCAGTGTTTTACACTCTGCATCTGATAGGTTGGTTTTCTCTTCATTGCTTAGTTTTGTTTGTTTGTTTGTTTGTTTGTTTGTTTGTTTGTTTGTTTTTTCTGGAGCTTTGAACTGGTTTTTCATTTGGGCCTTTTTTTTTTTTTTTTTTTTGGTCTCTGCGTGCCTGTTATGTAGTAAGGGGCAGAGTCTTAGGTGCTCACCAGGGCAGGGCAACCCATTTGGTTTCTGTAAGGGACCACTCTGCCTGGTTTCAGGAGCTGAAACTTCCCATGGCTAAGGCTGAGGGAGCTACCTTCAGACCATAGGCCACTAAAGAGACAAAGCTTGTCTCTAGCAGCAAGCACTGCTTCTGCTTCATCTCCCTGCCCCCAAAGTATGGTCGGATTGTCAGAGACGAGTGCAACCCCCCCAGAGGGGGGGCCAACCTAAGGCACACCCAATCACTTGGAAGGCCATCATGGAAGGATTTGGGGGGCTGCAACAGAAAGGGGGGTGATGAACCCCTCCTCCCACTTTGATGAGGCCCAAGTGAGTTTATTTCCCAAGGTTTGGTAGCCTTTTAACTGATAGACCCTGACTTAGAAGAAGCCCTAATGGTTCTTTGTACACTATCTACTATTTACTGCCTGACAATGATTAATAAGTTCTACCTGAACTCCTGGGGGAAAAAAAAAACAATAAAAGCCTGTCTAGGCAAGGGTCAGCGCTCTCTCTCCCCTGGTGAGAGAGTTGCCACCCACTCCAAGTCGCTTTCCCCTTGACAAGGTGGCCAGGCCATTCTGAGGCTGTCCCCCCTTGAGGGAGTAGCCATGCCATTCCTTTTCCTCCACAGGACATGATAGTTTGGGTGAATTTGTCTCATGTGTCATCCATGACACTGCGGGCACTACGAGCCAGTGCACACATCAGGTTGCATTGTGATGCTGTGTGGGGAGGAGGAGTCTGAGAGGGGACAGTTCTGCTTGCTCCACTCTCTGCTAGTTTTCAGTCACTTTCCCCAGCCACCCACAGTCAGATTCAGCCCTTCTGGTGCTGATTCCCAGGTGGCTGGGCTTCTGTACATTCTGGGACCCTGTGAGTCTCTCCCATGAACTCTCCCATGAGGCCAGGAGTTTCTCCCACTGCCACCTCAACACCCACAGGGGTTTTCAGCCAGAGGTTTTAAGGCTTAATTTCCCCGCTAGACCCTGGGTTGTGCATTCTGTCTTGCTCCCTAGTTGTTCCTCCTGGTTTATCTGCACTCGAATGTAGTGGCCTGCCCAGTCTGCAAGCCACCACCTCACCTGATCCATCAGCCACAATGTTGCTGCCAGTTCTTTCAACCCAGCTGCCATCTCTTCCCCTCTTGTCAGTCTGGATGAATATTTCTTCTTTAACTCCTTGGTTGTTGGACTTCCATACAGTTAGACCTTCTGTCAGTTCTGCTTTTTTCTGTTTTTAAATTTGTTTTTGTTCTTCTTTTGGTTGTGTGAGGAGGCAGAGTGTGTCTACCTATGCCTCCATCTTGGCTGGAAGTCCAGATATACGTAATCTACTTGCTTTTTGCTAAACTTTAGTTTTCTCCATTTGCAAATAACTTATTGCTAGTGCCCCTGGAAAAGTTTGTTTATTTGTCCATCCATCCATCCACCTGTCCATTCATTCTCCATGGACTGTGTTGTTAGCTGCAACGGCAGTAGAATGTTTCCAGCAGTTAGAGTGTCCTCAGTTCAGCAATCTCAGCATTTGAGTTCTGGCTAAGAAAGGAATCAGAGGTGAGACTCAAATACAAGCAAAAGTTTATTTACAAAATCACAGAGGTAGAAGGAGTGAGCTGGGGGAAAAGTGAGCCAGCTGGGCTGTGTGGGCTCAGGAAACAAGTTACAGAGACAAAAAAGGGCCCTTGGACCTTAGGCTTAAAAAAGGGCAGAGAGAATGAATGCCCCTGTGGAAAGAGAAGGGGAAAGGTGCAGGCATGTTCAAGAGACAGAACAACCCTGCACTGGGTCCTTCCCCTTGAGGGTTTCACCTGGGGGTCTCAGGGGGAAACCTCCATAGGATATTCGTCAGCTCTCCAGGTATATCTTTTTAGGGTTGTGGTCTCTACTGATGTTCAGCACCAGGACATGGTGTTAGGGTGGTTGATGACATGGGCTATGAAAGAATTCCCAAAGAGAAGAAAGTGTAGAAAATAAAGCTTTCATTCACACTACAGAAAGGAGAGGGGCGTGGTGTGGAGAGTGGCACCAGCACTGAGGGGTGGGGGCTTTGAGCTCTTATTGGTTTACAATTGGATTTGTTCACAGGTGGGAGGGGGTTGCTTTTGTGTGGCCCCTCAGCTGCTGGGGCGTTGCAACTCGAGGCTGCAGTTTGTTCCAATGTTATCTGCTGCCTGTGGCTGCAGGGAGCTGTGAGGTCTCAAAGTTGGTCCAGAAACCAGGCGGACACAGTGAGCCAAGGAGCAGGGATTTTTCGCAGTAATAAGAGGGAAATTGGAGCCATCCCAGGGCGGTTGGGGAGCCAAGCAAGAGAGGTTAGGACTTGCTCAGTTGTTCTTAGAGAAGGGTTTTTAAGCGCAAATCCTGAGAAGGGTATCTGTTTGGGGTGTCAGAGTCTGATTGGCTAGACCTGGTTGCTGGGTGCCATTTCTGCTGACCATTGTTCTTGATGTATCTTGTCAGGCTCAAGTTAAAGCTGCATCTTGTTATGCCAGACAGGCTGACCCCAGACCCCAGTCTTAGTGGGGCATCTCTTTGTCCAGGGTAGGGTTGGCAGGCAGTTTCCCACAGTACAGTTCCTGCCTGGTGATTTTCCATTCCTCCTAGGCCTACCTAGGTCTGGCAGGAAGTGTTAGTTCTGTTCTTGTTTTCCAGTAATTTCCAGTCCTGGGGGCACAAGCTCAGGAGAGTAAAAGGGGCATCATGTTTCACAAGGTCATAGGCCTGCCCGGCAATTGGAGCCATGAAGGCAAGTGGTGCAGTTTTATCATTGTACATGGGGTCATTAGTCATCACACCTTCCCCACTGTGATCCATGGGGTCAGCCAGCCTGGCTGCTTCTCTGGGCTGGAGCTGAAACATAACTGAGGCCTAGATGTTATCTCCAGGGCTTATTCTTAAGGGAGTGGTCATGCAGGGGCTTCTTAGGGAGTCATATGACGCTATTGTCTGACCACACTTTTCTTCCTTTAGGGGGGTCTACCATATGACTAGCATCATGCCAAGGGAGGAAAGGTCAGGGGATGGTCTGAGCTGAATGACCGTTGATAAGACAGGTCAGGGGTCAAAGCTACATGAACAGCAATATGCCAGGACAGGAAAGGCTACCCAGGGTGTTAAGACCCACCATGCAACCATCTGTTGCAAGGCACCCTCAGCTTTCTGCTCTGGGGAATTTCCATATCCTGTCATCCTTGGTCTCCTGAAGTCCAATACTGCCCACTACAGTATTGCCTGAGCCACAGCCCTGTCATCAGGGGGCTTCAGAATAGAGAGGGAACCAGACATCAAGGTCCAAAGCACAGGCAGGAGGCCCTGTGCTGGGTCCAGAGCTCACGGAGGGGTGCCTGGGAGTGAGGTCACACGGGCAGGCAGACAGCTGCCAGATGCACTGGTATCTGTCAGATCTTTTAATGTTGTTCGGTTTTCCTGGAAGGAGATACAAGGAGTCCTTGCAGGGTTTGAAGCCAGGAAGCAACCTCTGCAATGGGTGAGTCTGAAAGTGCAGGCCTCACTAGAGGAGAGTGGACTGGATGAGGGAACCTGGGTGTGAGAGGACAGTGAGTTTGGCCTCAGGGAGGCAGAGGTGAGAGTGAAGTATATTTGTGCCTTTAGTGGAATAGACACAATACATGCAAAGCAATTACCATCTCAGCTGACATGTGGAAGCATCTCAGGAACCCTAATTACACAATGTGGTTGTGGTGGTTAGAAATATAAGTTCTGACGTCAGAGAGACCTTAGAATTTCTATTTCTCCCCAGTCCCCTATTGTTCCCAGTGTCACCTAGTCCCTGAAACTACTGGTGGGCTCACTGTGGGTGTGGTGACCTGTGTGAGTGCCCTTGTCTGCGCTGCCCCCACCTGGGGTGCTCCCCGCCTTCCCCCCACCCCAGGCTTGTTCTGTGCTCTCCAGGCCCACATTTCCCTTCAGCAATGGGTGCAGCTCAGTCCCAAAGTGGTCCAGACAACATTTGGCGTCCTCTCCTTGTTGCCAGACCTGCACTTTGGTCTGGGGCCCAGAGGGTCCCTGGAGGAGTTGTTGGAACACTCCATCCATTGTCCCTTGGTTTACCTCCTGCCCCCTTCCACCTCCAGCTGGCTAGGCCAGGTTCCTCAAGGAAGCCCCTCTGACCACCCTCCCGAACACGGAGCTGTGAGTGGAGCCGGTGGGGAAGCCAGTGGACCTCCGGGGGACACCAGAGAGTGGAGATCAGCAGGAGCACAGGGTCCATTGCTGACCAACAAAGGGGAGCTTTTCAGGAAGAAGTTGCTGCCAGGCCTTGCTCCGCCTCAGTCTCGGGTTCCAGGACTCGCCTCGATGCCTGGAAACCAGCCTTGTCTGCAGCCTCCTGCGCCTGTCACCTGGGGCCTGAGGCTGGTGGCGCACTCGGGGCCTCGTCTCGACCCCGCGGAGCCCCCCAGGACCCGCGGGTCTGCAGGGGGCGGCTGCGAGCTCCGCTGTGACCCTCTTTCCTGCATCCGCGTCTCCAGCCCTGGAATCCGAATCTCGGGGGACTCTGCCGCTGCTGAGTGGACCTGGACAGTCTGCGACCTGTGCTCCAGCAGCCGCGGGTACTTTTCCAAGGACCAGAACGCGTCTCTCTCAGAAGCGAGGACAATTTGATGGGATGCGTCCCCCTAAGATCTTCAGGGGCCTCCTCTGGCACCAAGAGACTTGCGTCCTGGGTCTACACGGTACACTGACTGCAGGCACCACGGACTGGTCTCTTCTTCTCTGGTCACAGAAGCCCAGAACTCCTTCTCCCATGGAAGGTCCCGCATCCTCATCTCAGCCCTCAGTGTCCACTCTGAGATTCTGTGAATCTGCGACTCTGATCTCCCCAGGGGGGAGGCCTCATCCCCTAAGGGATCTGGCAGTGGAAGGGCCCACAGCCCTCAGCTGACTGGAGTATTTTGGATTCTGTTACCCAAGTGACATTTGTGTTTGTGAAATCCCTATGTAATTCTCTTCTGGCTTCTGATGGTAATTCATTGCCATTATTAAATATACTTGCATTTGCATCGGTTGATCCCCTGTGATCATTTGGGGGGCACCTTTCAGTTCAAAATGCTGAACCAGGGAAAGCAGGTGACATCAGTTTCAATTCTGAGTCACCCTCTCAGTCATGGTGTTACTGGGTAATTACTTCTCTCTGAGCCTCAGTTTCCTCATCCACACGATGTCATTCTTGTCCTTTTCTTGCAGATGAGTAATGCACATTGGAGTAGTGTTTCTAAAACTTCCAGCTGAGGCCATAGGATGGTCTTCACTAATGGTCTCTATCAGGTGACCACACACGTACATACACAGGCAATTGCACTTTTCACGAGTCCAAGGCAGTGGGCTGGCGATCATGGTTGCTAACTGCAGGCCTCTTTGCCAAGGTCGCCCAGCTGGGAGGGTCAGAGCCAGGTTTCAATCTCAACCACCTCACAGAACTTCCTTCCAAGAAAAACAAGTATGAATTCAGAAATGTTGAGACCTTCTGTGCATTTTCAGAATTCACTATTGACAATGTCTCCTGCCCAGGGTTAAGGTTGATGTCATTGACAGAAACCGACCAGAGCCCTGGAAGGTGAAGGGGGCACATTTCCCTTCTTGCCTGTGCAACATTTTTAGGTCTCAGAGCTCAGTATTTCCTAGTGAGGATTCCATCCACTCTCTCTGGAATTATGAATCATAGACAAAGGGTTTTCAGCAGTAGTCAAAGCCAAAAAGCAGTGGGCACCTCCCATCCTAAATTTCATTGTCTCCACGACCAGGGAGGGGATCCAGCTGCACAGAAGCTGGACAGTGTCGTCTTTACTCTCTGGGGTGTCAGGGAAAACTTGTTTAAAATTCTGCCCTCACCACTTAATTCTTTTGTGACCTGGGGTCGGTCTCTTAGCATCTGAGTCCCCGTATTTTATTATTTTTATTTAGTTAGTTTTATGATTTGATTATTTCTATATGCTTTATACTTAGAACAGGTGGCAGCATCCAGCTTCTCCCCCTTCTGCTGGCGTGGCTCCGTATTTACACTGCAGGGCAAGTCCAGGAGGCCCTCGGTGCCCCTGTGGGCTCAGCACTGCAAGTGGCAAAGGCTTTGTGTTGGGGTGAGACACAAAGTGCTGAACAAAGTGGGGGCGTCTGTGTTTTCCTTTTGCACTGACTGCTCCCCGCCCAAGTCTTCACATACCTGCCACCCTCACTTTTAAGTCTTCATTCACATGTGCTTTCTCAGGCCGCCTCATTCACTGCAACCACTGCTTACACCCTGCTGTCTCCCTGCTTTAGTTCTTCCACTTTCTGTTCCTTGAAGTAACGTCCACCTGTGCTTAACCCCCTCTCCCCTAATCCCTGTCATTCCTCCCTAGTAAAAGTTCCTCAAAGGGTGGTTTTGTGGGTGTTTTTTTAATACATTATGTCAGGCACCTAGAGCTGTGCCTGACAGAAAGTGGGGGCTGAATCATACTGGGTGAATGAATGAAGGCGTTTGTCACGAACTGAGCTGGTTCCCTGAAGTCCTTGGCAACACCAAGATTGCCTAGTAGATTGTCCCATTCCTGTGTCCCTCAGTGTCTGGACAATTAACATGTTAGTGAGGCTCCCCCTTCTCCCTGTTCTTTCTCTCGGTCCCAGCTGTTGAAGGGAGGGAAGAGCTGGTCTCCTTGCTCCATTTTAGGCTGCTCTCCCTTTCTCACACTCTTCTCCTGGCCCCCAGCCCTCTCCCCCTGCAGCCTCTCCCTTCCTCTTCTCCCCTCCCCATAATCACTTCTCTTGAACGTTCCCAGTTCTCTCTGGCACTACCCTAGCACTGCTTTCCTCCTCCTCTCCCTGCACAGCAGTGTCCTGACAAAGACAAGTTCCTCTGTCCCCTCCCCATCATGGCACCGTTACTGCACCTTTGTGGGCTGAGGCTGTGCCCCTACACTGAGACTCACCTTAGAACCTCACCTCCTGTAGGTGAACCTCAATCTGGGTCAGTTTCTCTTTCCCTCCACCTGCTCACCTGGCTCAAGGCCCCGCCCTGCCAGGGCTTCCCCAGCCTGGGGCCTCCCCTAGTGGCCAGTGTGTTTTCACTTTTCCTACATCAGCTGGGATTGCCCATCTCTCCAGGCTAAAAGCTATACCATGGGGCTCAGGCAGCTGTTCCATCTGAGCAGAGCTGGAGGTGCAGAGACGCAGACAGAGCAGCAGACTCAGACCCAGCAGAGGAGACTGAGGTCACAGACACCAAACAAGGCTCAGTGAGAGACCCTGGTGACAGCCTCTTAGTGGACACTTAGGTCCCCCTCTGCTGACAGACACCAGAGACAGAGATGAGGATGCAACTGGGTGAGCCCCCACATCATTGCCCATGACCCCCACCTCTCCACAGCCCCCACCCTCAGCCCCTGACACTCTGGGTGCCCTCATCTGTCTGTCCTTCTGTAACACAGACTTGCCTGTGGGTTGCATGCTGGTGCTCATGCTGATGACCACAGTGCTGAGAAGGACGGGAGCAGTTCCTGTCCCCACGCCCCCTCAGTGCCCTCCCGGGTGTAAGGGACTGCCCCATGGCCCAGTTCAAGTCTCTGCCCCCACAAGACATGAAGGCCTTCAGGAGGGCCAAGGACGCCTTGGTGAGTCTCCCCACTGCCCCACCTGCTGTGGGCCAACCCCCACCCTCCCTCAGGGGGTTCCTATGCTCCCTGTGGCTCAGGGTGGACCTGTCTCCTGCCCCAGCCCCAGTCTGCCCTACACTTTGGCACAGTGGGCTGACTCCTGCTGTTGCTGCCATGGGCTGACTCCTGTTCTGCAGTGGAGATGCGTCCACCCTGCTTTTGGAAGTTAGCCCCCCTCCTTATGTTGTAGTCTCCCTCCAATCCCACTGCAGGGGTCTAACCTCAGCCCTCCAGCTGTGCGCTGACCCTCCCCTTCCTCTCCAGGAGGAGTCACTCCTGCTGAAGAACTGGAGCTGCAGCTCCCACCCACTGCCCAGGACCCGGGACCTGAGGCAGCTGCAGGTGAGTTGGCAGAGGGAGGTCCAGCCCTGCCCTCACCTGGCCCCAGCTCCTGTAGCTGCGTAAATGGGCCCTTCACCTTCTCCTCCTCACTCTTCTTGACTTTTCCTCACCTGCCACATTTGCTGAGTCCTCTTACCTTTCCTGACCTTACCTTTACTGCCCCTTCCTCAGTCCTCCTCACCTGTCTCTTCCCTCCTCAGGTATGGGAGCGCCCCGTGGCCTTGGAGGCTGAGCTGGCCCTGACACTGAAGGTCCTGGGGACCATGGCTAACTCCACCCTGGGGGACATCCTGGAGCAGCCCCCTTCACATGCTGCGCTACATCCACACCAAGCTTCAGGCCTGTGTGAGTGCTCTGGGCCCCTGGGCCACATCTCTGGGCTCTGACTCTCCCCCACCCCCATAGGTCTCCCTCTGTCCAGGCCCTGCCTCACACACCACCCTCCTCTCCTCACAGGTCCCAGCTCAGGCCACAGCAGGCCCCAGACCCCGGGGCTACCTCCACCGCTGGCTGCGCCGCCTCCAGGTGGCTTCAAAGGTGAGTGACCAGGGAGTGACCAGTGTCTGGGGACAAACAACTGGGACCCAGATCAGGGGTAGTCACTGGCCCATCCCGTCTTCCCCACAGGAGTCCCCTGCCTGCCTTGAAGCCTCTGTGACATTCAACCTGTTCCGCCTCCTCACCCATGACCTGAACTGTGTCGCCAGTGGAGACCTGTGTGTCTGACCCTGAGGCCCACCCACCACCTGCCCCAGCATCTTAGATGTTATTTATGCCTCACTCATTTTTCTTAAGTTATTGTCAGTTATTTATATATTTGTATGTGGGCATTTTCAAACTCACACCCAATCAGGAGATTTTATTTATGCCTCATTCACTTTTTAAGTTATTGTCAGTTATTTATATATTTATCCATGTGAATTTTCAAACTCACAACCAATTAAGTGTTTATTTTTTTACTTTTTGTCAAAATTGTGCAAATAAACAATGAGGAAAAGATGCTGTTTGTGCTGTGGGGTGTGTGGAGGGATTCAGTGTCCAGGGCTGGTTTGGGAGAGGCCTGAATTCTGGAACCACTTTGGTGCTGACCCCATGGACCATGGACCAGTCTTGTTTCCCCTGAACGCCTCCCTGGATGTTCTGTGAGTCTCTGACTGTTGGCTCTCCCCACTGAGCGGGTCCCATTTCTGAGGGATTTGGAGAGCACCGAGGTCAGCAGGCTCAGTTACAGTCCCCTGCCATGTAACCACCAGGAGTCCTTCTGAGGAATGCGTCCTTAGGGGAATCTGTGTTGTGTGGACGTCACAGAGCACACTCACACTGACCGCGATGGGGCCGTCACCACACACCTGGGCTGTGTGGTACAGCCTGTGGCTCCTGGACCACAAACCTGTGCAGCAGGTTGAACTGTATTAGATACTGTCGGCAGGTAGAACACAATAAGTATTTGTGTATCTGGACACATCTAAACACACTACAGGCACAGCGAGGATGTGCTGGAGGAGATACAAATGTCACACCTGCATGGGGCACTCACATGGGTGGAACCAGGGAACTGTAGTCACTCTGGGCTAGGCAGTGAGTGAGTGGCGAGTGAATGTGAAGGCCTACCACATTCTTCCCACTACTATGGACCTTACAGACTCTACATTTGTGCCACCTAAATGTATAAAACAACACAATATTGCACCAAGCACAAGAGAAAATAGTGCAAAGATGCAGTAAACACAAGGTTTATGAGGCTGCTGCCAGCCTAACATACATACTGTCTTACAGTAAACTTTTTTATAGAAATAAGAGCGCATCTAAAATAATGATGAGATGCATGGTAAATATATAAAACACTAAGGGAGCCCTTTATGATGAAGTGTTATGTACTGTACACTGCCGTATGTGCTGTACTTGCACGTGACTGGCTGCACTTCAGGGTGTATATCAGGGTCGTATATGTGTCCCACCATTGACCAAAAGATCATCATGCCACGCATGACTGAGTTGTGATTATTTGGGATCCTGTTACTAATGTGTCCTTACAGTTGTAAGACCCGTGTGCTTGTGCTGGTCCTCTGTTTCTCCTGGTGTTCATTCATTTTCATGTGTGTGATGGTGTGACCACTGGCAGTGCAAGCAATCATTCTGAGGTAGTGTGAATGGTAGAGGTACGACTTTGAAGTCAGAGCTAAATCTGAGGGGACATTTTCCTTCCCATTTACCTTTTGTGGTATACTTGCCTTTTTCTTTTCTTTCTAAAGTATATTTTACTGATTATGGTATTACAGTTGTCCCATATCCCCCTTTATTCCCCTCGACCACGCACACCCTCTCCCGCTCGCATTCCCCCCATTTACTTCATGTTCATGGGTCATACACATAAGATCTTTGGCTTCTACATTTCCTATACTGCTCTTACCCTCCCCCTGTCTATTTTCTACCTACCATTTATGCTACTTATTCTCTGTACCTTTTCCCCCTCTCTCCCCCTCCCACTCCCCCTCTGATAACCCTCCATGTAATCTCCATTTCTGTGATTCTCTTCCTCATCTAGTTGTTTGCTTAGTTTGTTTATGTTTTCTTTTGTTTTTTCATTTAGTTTTGTTTTAAGGTTTGGTTGTTAATAGCTGTGAGTTTGTTGTCGTTTTACTATTAATATTTTTTATCTGACTTCACCAAGATGGAGGCATAGGTGGAGATGCCATGCTTTCTCACACAACCAAGTTGAGAGACGACAAAATATTAGCAACAGAAAACACAGCCAGAACACAGAAAATTGAACTTTTGGAAAGTCTGATAACAACTAATTCTTCAGCCTGACCAGTAAGAGTGGAGAAGCCAGCAGCTGGCAGAGCGGGGTTGCACAGGAAAACTCGGTCAGACGGACCCGGACACACAGATCCCAGGCATGGGGTTGCAACGGGTGGACCCAGTGAGAGACCCAGTGAGCGACCCAACGAGGGCACAGTGGCGGCGGGTTGACTGTGGTGGCACATTCCTGTGCAGACAGACCAGCGAGGGAGTGGGCAGTGAGATGGGACTGAGCAGGCCCCAGCGGCGGGAACCAGCAGAAGAGGCCGCCATTTCCCCACTCCCACCCCGCTCCCACTATACAGCGTCACAACCCAGTGACCTGGGCGGCCTCCTGCCCTAATGAGCACCAAAGCCTCCGCTCCTCATACTGAACGGGCCCCAACAGACCAAAAATGGCTCAAGAAGATCTCAAAGCCCCAGAGCCCATAAATCTAAGCGATGAAGAAATAGCAAAACTTTCAGATGCACAGTAGTTCAAAACACTGGTGATCAGCATGCTCACAGAACTGGTTGATTTTAGTCACAAATTAGAGGAACATATAAAGGCTAAACTAATTGAAATGAAGGGAATTACACAGGAAACCAATAGTGATGAAAAGGAAACTGGGACTCAAATCAAGGGAGTGAACCATAAGGAAGGAAAAAATGACCAAACACGAAAATATGAAGAAACAAAAATTCAAAAAAAATGAGGAGAGACTGAGGAACCTCCAGGACATCTTTAAATGCTCCAACATCCGAATTATAGGGGTACCAGAAGGAGGAAAGGAACAGCCACCAGTGGAAATCTTATCTGAACAAATAGTAAAGGAGAATTTCCCCAATCTGGCAAAGGCAATAGACTTCCAGGAAATCCAGGAAGCTCAGAGAGTCCCAAAGAACTTGGACCCAAGAAGAAACACACCAAGGCACATCATCATTACATTAGCCAAGATTAAAATGAAGGGAAGAATCCTAGAACCAGCAAGAGGTAAAGGGACAGTCACCTGCAAAGGAGTTCCCATCAGACTGTCAGCTGATTTCTCAAAAGACACCCTACAGGCAAGAAGAGGCTGGAAAAAGGTATTCCAAGTCATGAAATCCAAAGACCTACAACCAAGATTACTCTATCCAGCAAAGCTTTCATTTAGAATGGAAGGACAGATAAGGTGCTTCTCAGATAAGACCAAATTCAAGGAGTTCATCATCACCAAACCCTTATTATATGAAATGTTAAAGGGACTTATCTAAGAAAGAGCACATAAAAAAAGATGAACAGTGAAAAAACAGCAAACTCACAGATATTAACAACCACACCTAAAACAAAAGCAAACTAAAAGGACAGCTAGATCATGAGCAGAAACATAGAAATGAAGATGTCATGGAGGGTTAGCAACAGGGGAGTGGGAGGAGGAGAAAGTGGTAGAAGGTACAGAAAATAAGTAGCAGAGAGGGTAGGTAGAAAATAGATAGGGGAGGGCAAGAATAGTATGGGAAATATAGAATCTAAAGAACTTGAGACACATGTCATAAACTAAAGGGGGGAAAGGTTGGGTGGAGGGTGCAGGGTCGAGGGGAATGAAGGGGGGAATAGAAAAACTGTAATGGCATAATCAATCAAATAAAAATTTTAAAATATTTTTTACCTTCTTGTTCTTAGATAAGTCTCTTTAACATTTCATATAATAAGGGCTGGGTGATGATGAACTTTATCTGCCCTTCATTCTAAATGAAAGCTTTGCTGGATAGAGCAATCTTGGATGTAGGTCCTTGCCTTTCATGACTTCAAATACTTCTTTCCAGCCCTTTCTTGCCTGTAAGGATTCTTTTGAGACATCAGCTGAAAATCTAATGGGAACTCCTTTTTTAGGTAACTATCTCCTTTGCTCTTGCTGCTTTTAAGATTCTCTCTTTATCTTTAATCTTGGCTAATATGATTATGATGTGCCTTATTGTGTTCCTCCTTCGGTCCACTTTCTTTGGGACTCTGAGCTTCCTGGACTTCCTGGTAGTCTATTTCCTTTGCCAGATTGGGGAAGTTCTTCATTATTTGTTCAAATAAGTTTTCAATCTCTTGCTGTTGTTCTTTTCCTTCTGGCACCCCTATGATTCAGATGTTGAAACATTTAAAGATGTCCTGGAGCTTCCTAAACCTCTCATTTTTTTTTTTTGAATTCTCTTTTCTTTATTCTGTTCTGGTTCAATGTTTCTTTCTTTCTGCTGCTCCAATCCATTGATTTGAGTCCTGGTTTTCTTCCCCGCCATTGTTGTCTACCTGTAGATTTTTCTTTATTTCACATAGTGCAACCTTCATTGCTGCCTGGGTCTTTTTATGTTGGTGAAGTGCCCAGTGAGTTCCTGGAGCATCCTGATAACCAGTGTTTTACACTCTGCATCTGATAGGTTGGCTTTCTCTTCATTGCTTAGTTTTGTTTGTTGTTTGTTTGTTTGTTTGTTTTTTCTGGAGCTTTGAACTGGTTTTTCATTTGGGCCTTTTTTTTTTTTTTTTTTGGTCTCTGCGTGCCTGTTATGTAGTAAGGGGCAGAGTCTTAGGTGCTCACCAGGGCAGGGCAACCCATTTGGTTTCTGTAAGGGACCACTCTGCCTGGTTTCAGGAGCTGAAACTTCCCATGGCTAAGGCTGAGGGAGCTACCTTCAGACCATAGGCCACTAAAGAGACAAAGCTTGTCTCTAGCAGCAAGCACTGCTTCTGCTTCATCTCCCTGCCCCCAAAGTATGGTCGGATTGTCAGAGACGAGTGCAACCCCCCAGAGGGGGGCCAACCTAAGGCAGACCCAATCACTTGGAAGGCCATCATGGAAGGATTTGGGGGGCTGCAACAGAAAGGGGGTGATGAACCCTCCTCCCACTTTGATGAGGCCCAAGTGAGTTTATTTCCCAAGGTTTGGTAGCCTTTTAACTGATAGACCCTGACTTAGAAG